GTGCTGCAGCACGGTCATAGCTCACTGCAGCCTCAACTTTCCAGGCTCAAGCAATCCTCCTGCCTTAGCCTCCCAAGTAGCTGGGACTACAGGCACGTGCCACCATGCCCAGCTAATTAAAAAAAAAAAAAACAAAACACTTTGTAGAGATGGGGTCTTGCTTGTTGTCCAGGCTGGACTCCTGGACTCAAATGTTCCTCCTACCTTAGCCTCCCAAAGTTTTGGAATTACAGGCACGAGCCACCACACCTGACCCCTATTTTCTTTTCTTTTCTCCTTTTTTGAGGCGGAGTTTTGCTCTTTTGCCCAGACTGGAGTAGAAGGGCTCACTGCAACCTCTGCCTTCCAATTTCAAGCAATTCTCCTGCCTCAGCCTCCCGAGTAGCTGGGATTACAGGCGTGAGCCACCGTCCCTGGCCTATTTTATTATTTTTTTGAGACAGAGTCTTGCTCTGTAACCAGGCTGGAGTGCAGTGGTGCCATTTCGACTGACTGCAAGCTCTGCCTCCCGGTTCAAGTGATTTTTCTGCCTCAGCCTCCTGAGTAGTTGGGATTACAGGCACATGCCACCACACTCAGCTAAATTTTGTTTTTGTTTTTGAGATGGAGTCCTGCTCTGTCCCCAAGGCTGGAGTGCAGTGGCACAATCTCGGCTCACTGCAACCTCCCACTCCAGGGTTTAAGAAACTCTCTTGCCTCAGCCTCCCAAGTAACTGGGATTACAGGAGCACCACAACACCCGGCTAATTGTTTTTGTACTTTTAGTAGAGACAGGGTTTCTCCATGTTGGCCAGGCTGGTCTCAAATTCCTGACCTCAGATGATTCACCTGCCTTGGCCTCCCAAAGTGCTGGGATTACAGGTGTAAGCCACTGCGCCCAGCCTTATTTTCTTCTTTAAAATTGTGAAACAGCTGGTCCGATGGTAGTGGGTTATGAGAACTTATTAACATTAGTGTCACTAAAGTTGGTATACAACCCCCCACTGCTAAATTTGACTGGCTTTAAAAAAAAAAATTGTGAAACATAAGCTATTTTCAGAGAAGTACAGAAAATATCTCTATGTAGGTTGAGAAATAATTATAAAGCAAACACAGGTGTCACTAGTTTCATCACCTTTTAAAAAACCAGGGGCATGCATTACTGTTTTTTGAAAAAGAAGAAAAAGAAAACTCTCAAAGAGAGCTAGGTTCTCCCTTACTCCAAGATCCAACCCAGATTTTTAGGGATAACTTGCAAACTCCTCCCACCAATGTCAGATCCCAGACTGGTGAGGGTAGAATATGCTAGATCCCCTCTTCATGGCAGGAAGACAAATGGGGATGCCTAAAAAGGATCTAGCAGGCCGGGCGTGGTGACTCACACCTGAAATCCCAGCACTTTCGGGGGGTGGGGGGCGAGGTGGGCGGATCACCTGAAGTCAGGAGTTCGAGACTAGCCTGGCCAACATGGTAAAACC